ATAAGAATAAGAACGTGAATAAGAATATGCATGTGGAAACGAATAAGAATAAGAATAAGAATAATAAGAATAAAAAGAATGAGAAGAATAAGCATAGGAAAAAGAAAAAGAAAAAGAAAAAGCAAAGGAAAAAATATAGCAATAAGAATATCAAGAAGAGAGAAAGAAAGACAGAAAAAGAATGCAAACGAACCGAGACTTAATGCCTTTTCTTGTGCGAGACAAATTGTATAAATTAATTTAGGTAATATAAAACTAGCCCAAAGAATTCCACAGAAAATAAAAAAGCGATCGGGCTGAAGAAAGCTGAGAAAAAGAAATAAATAATAAAATAAAAGAAAGGCTCCGATTAATTAATTCGTGAGTATAATTCATTTGTTAATTAATTACATTTATTAATTAGTGAGATTATTTCATTAATTAATTTGTTGCATTAATTCGTTAGTTAAGTACGTTGATTAGTTTATAAATTAAATTAATTAATTAATTAATTAATTAATTAATTAATTAATGCATATGATTTAACTGTTGCATGGACGTATGCATGCATACATGCATGCATATATACATACTGCTGCACGAAAAAGGGAATAAGCGGTTCTACTGCAATTATTTTGCATGCAGCAATTAATTAGTTATGCAATATTTCCCTACTCAAAAGAGAAGGAACAATTTTATTATTATTTTACTTTGCATGCATCATGCATGTGCTTTAATTACTTAATTATTAATTAATTAACGTTGAATCTATTACTTAATTAATTGCTCAGTAGATAATTAATTAATTAATTATTGATAATTAATGAATTATTCATAATTAATAATTAACTAACATGTATTTAATAAATGCGCAAGAAGTAATAATTAACTAATTAATTAACTAATTAATTAATTAATTAATTAATTATCGTAATTCATTACGAATTAAAAAGGAATATTTTTTCACCCGTAGAATCCAACTGCCGCAGCCAAATCGGCGAAAATGACCGCCAGAATTGGGAAAATTCCAATGAGGAGTGCGAACTAGAAAAGGAAATAAATTAAAAAGATAACATAATAATATTTATGCAAAAGGAAATAAATTAAAAAGATAATATAATATTTATGCAGCTCTAGAAGATCTTTAACAACTCGGCTCGATGCAAATACCTTAAGAACGAATCCAAAGGCGATAAATCCCAGGTTAAATGCTGTTGTTGAGTATAAGAAACAAAGAGAAGAGGAAATGCAGAAAAAAACAAATATATACCGCAGTACCAACTCTTCATTAGAGGCGTTCGCGAGGTCCCGGTGAGCCAAATGACTGAAGAATTGAGTAAATGGTTGTTGTTTTTCTGCATTTCCATGGGATTACTTTTCTTCTAAATAGTGCTTACATGCAGGAAGAGCAGAAGAATACGGAATTAATGCCAAAGAACCAACTACAGGATCAGTGAATTGCAAAGAACTCCAGAGGAAAAGTGAAGGAAATTCGAATTCCGTCGTCGGTCTAGCCGCTGATCTCGGGTTTATTTTTCCTTTTTCATTTAATTTAATTTATTTTATTGTTTTCTCACCAGGTTTCGCCTCATCGTCCACGCGAGGACCTGCAATTTGATACGGCGATACCCATGAACGCACACCCGACTTAACTCGGGTGCAGAAAACTGTTGAAAAACCCTCCAGAAAGAAAAACAAATATAAAAATAGACTCTTCAAGAAAAGCCCCATCGTTTAAATGCTTAATCGTGCTTCACAGCGAAGTAATTCGCCATATTTTCCCTATAAATCCAAACGTGAATGAACAAAGAATTGCTCTTTGCAAGAGCTGCACATACACCCCAAAATTTCGCTTCCTGCGGCAGTCTTTGAACGAAATTCACCATTTGTTTTCTTTTCACATCTCCCCTATACACATCTTCAGCACAAATTTGAAATGCATGCAACATATAGCTTAACAGAAATTAGCAAGTGAGCACTTTCTTATTCTTTTTGTGATATATATTCCTCGGCAAGCACTACCAGGCAGCAAGGAAATATTCTCGTTCAAGAAGGAAGCGAAGCCTCATTGAACCTGCTGTTGCAGCAGCAGCTGGATGCTGCGAACCAAAGAAAGAGCAGAGAATCATTTGCTGCATCTTTCTCTTTTTATTTTGCTGCTGATCCTGCAGCACTACTACTACTCGTTCCCCTAAACGGCAAAAAACAACCGAGAGAAAACAACAGTCAAACTGAATTGTTAACAGCGTTGATCTCAACAAATGTCTTTCAGGTTTTGGTTTGCAAGAAAAAACCCATACTAAACCAAAATACGCCTTCCTGGGCGATGTAGCTAGCTACAGCTAGCTGCAGCTCGCTACAGCTAACTGCAGCTAGCTACAGCTAACTGCAGTTACAGCTAGCTGCAGCTAGCTGTTGCATTTTCAGTTGTGGTTTCTGCGAAGTGGATGTTTTCGGGTATAGACGCCTCTAGCCAGTTGGCTTCGATCTCTTCGAGTTGTTTCCTGCATGCAGCAGTTGCTGCTGTTGCTGCTGCTGCTGCGCCTTGCAGCAGCACCCTGAGGAGCAGCAGCCCCAGCGCCGGGGGCGCATGCAGCAGCGGAGACCAAAGGGGGTGCCTCCTCCAAAGAGAAGAAGAAAGAAGAAAAGACAGCAGCAGATCTTGCAGCTGACGACGGGCAGCAAATGCCGAACCGCAGCAAACAGCTGCTAATAAACACGGAAGAGCCGCCTTCTGGTCCAGCAGCGCCCGCAGCAGCAGCACCTGAACCCACACAGCAGCAGCAGCAGCAACAACAACAACAATAATAGCAGCAGCTGAGCGGAGAAGCAGCAGCAGAGTGTTATGTGGGTGATAGCGCGGTGTATATGCAGCCTGCATGAATCTGCATGCATGCATGCATGCAAAATAAACATTTCGAGGTTTGTTTTAAAGCTATTAATTGGTTTATTATTTATAAAAAGGAAATAGACTAACACGTAGCGGAGCAAACTCATAAAAAACAAAAAAATCTGCAGGTTGACAACCCAACCATAAATTTTTCGTTTTAAGGCCCTCCGATCGATGCAGCCGAAGCAAACCCGAAAACGAAACCCAAGGTATGTCTTCCTTCTTCAACAACTTGCTGCTGCTGCTGCTGCTGCTGCTGCTGCTGCTGCTTCTGCTGAAGCAGCAGCTGGTGGGAGCTACTGCTAGTCTTCCTGGGGGTGTTGCTGAGTATAGAATGCACGGCAGCAGCGGCCCTGTTTTGCTGCTGCGAGCAGCAAGCCAGCCTCGGTGCTTCAGCGAAGGGGCACGGAAGACAAGCCGCGGCTGCTGCTGCTGCTGCTGCTGCTGTTGCTGCTGCTGCTGTTGCTGCTGCTGCTGTTGCTGCTGCAACACACAATGCCAGCAGCAGCAGAAACGCACAGATGCAACGCCAAAAACCCCGTAGCAACAAAAAGCAAAAACAAAACAGTGCAGAGCGCAGCAGCAGGAGCAGCAGCAACAGCAGCAGGAAGAGCTAAAGCAGGAGCAGCAGCGAGGGTTGCAGCAACAGCCTACTTGGTTGCTGCTGTCTTGTTTTCTTCGTTTTTCTTCTGCTGCAGCAGCCTGAATCTGCTGCTGAACTATCTTCGCTGCTTTGCCTCGATACTCTAATTGCTGTGCCGCAAACCACAAAGCAGCTTCCCGTACCTCTGCTGCTGCTGCTGTTGCTGCTGCTGCTGTTGCTGCTGGCTCAGGCTTTTTAGTTGAGCGGATACCCAAAACGGCAGCAGCAACGGCAGGGGGAATACGTGCTTGTTCTGCTGCTGCTGCTGCTGCTTCTGCCTCTGCTGCAACTTCTGTTGCTGCTAGTCTATCTGCTGCTGCTGCTGCTGCTGCTGCTTCGCCTCCTTGTTTGTTGGCGTTCCCCCTCAAAAGTTCTGCTTGAATGTCCGCATGCAGCTGCGCTGCTTTTGTGTGCTTGTTTGCTGCTGCAGCAGTGGCTGCTATATCTGCTGCTGTTGCTGCATCTGCTGCTGCAGCTCTATCTGATGGCGTTGCTGCCGCTGCTGCTGCTGCTGCTGCAGATCTGCTGCCAAACAGGATGCGCCAGATGTCTTTGAAGGAGGCCCTGAAGCTGCTGCTGATACATGCACAGGGGAGGCGAGGGTTTGCTGCAGCAGCAGCAACAGGGATTCTGCTGCTGCTACTGCTGCTGCTGGTTGAGAGAAGGGCTGCAGCTGCTGTCTGCGTGCATATGTGCAGCAGCAGCAGCAAAACAAATATAAATTTAGCAGCAAATTTAGAAGACAAGCGGAAAGGAGATGCAGATACACCCCAAGAACTCCCGCTAGAGCAGCAGCAAACCCCAGCTCTACCCTTCATATTCACTCCTGCCGCCGCCAAACCCTAAACCCTAAACCCTAAACCCTAAACCCTAAACCCTAAACCCTGAGGGGAAGCCGAAGATTGCCGTTGGTGGGGGGCACCCAGCTGAACCCCCGCGTTCATCGAGCATCGGGTCTTGCAAACCCTAATCCATAAACCCTAAACCCTAAACCCTAAACCCTAAACCCTAGACCCTAGACCCTAAACCCTAATTATTTATATATTGAACACAGGCTTTAAAAGCCCTCGCCATTAGGGGTTTACCTTGGGGGGCCCTCTCACCAGATTTGGCATTAACCCTAAACCCTAAACCCTAAACCCTAAACAAAAGAGAAGAGCATCAAGACACATCTTAAATCCGAGCCCAAACCCTAAACCCTAAACCCTAAACCCTAAATTCTAAACTCTAAACCCTAAACACTATTTCTTTTGGCGGCGAAGCCGCCCAAATGCAAAGCCCCTGATACCACAGAGGGGCCCCCGGCATGCAAACCCTAAATCCTAAGCCCTAAGCCCTAAACCCTAAAAGCAAATAATAAACAATAAACATTCAAGTCTTAGTGCTTATGCTTTTAAGACAATTTTCGTCCCTTCCCTGGGGTACCTGGCCCTATGGGGAGGGGGTATTAGGGTTTAGGGTTTAGGGTTTTGAAGGTTTTGTAGGAAA